CCCTGCAGGCCTTCAACGCAGCCCAGACCCTGCGGGGAGGAGCAGGTTCCCCCACACCCCCCGCGGAGGCCTGGGGCCCCACGTGGCTAGTGACGGCCCTGCCAGCAGGTCATGGGCCAGAACCAGGAGCTGGCTATGGAGGATGTCCATGAGTGCGCTGCCCCCTGCTGGAGGGAATGAGAGCTGCTTTCTATCAGACTCATAGACTCTAAGGTCAGAAGGGACCATTATGATCATCTAGTCTGACCTCCCGCATGATGCGGGCCACAAAACCTGACCCACCCACTCCTGGAAGAATTCTCTCCCCTGACTTAGCTGTTGAACTCCCCAAATCATTATTTAAAGACTTCAAGTCGCTGAGAATCCTCCAGCAAGCGACCCCTAAACAGGTTTTGGGCAGAACATTTTCCATGGAAAATTCCAGTTTTTGTTGTTGAGAAACCAAACTCCTGAAAACGGAAGCGTTTTACCTTGGAAGTGCTGCCGCAAAGCCTCTTGGGAGATGTGCCTCAGTTGCCTCTTCTGCTTGCTGGACTTCATTTCCCGTGATGCACCACAGCATCCACTCTTGGGGGGGAGGTGGTGCATCATGGGAAATGTAGTCCAAGGGCGGAGCCCAACTGATTGAGAGTATGTCTCACAAGGCACAGGGGCAGCATTTCTGGGAGGAAACATGAGGCTTTTTGCCAAACATTTTGGTTTATGAATTTTTTGACAAAAAGAGAAGCTGTTCCTGGGCAAACTTCGATGAAAGTGACGATTGTTCCCTCTTTGTCGACCCTCCCCCCATTTTTTGGACCAGGGCTGAGTGGTTTGTGCATTGCTGCCCCTGGCAGGACCGTGGGTGGTCTGTGTGGGTCACTCCTGCTGGCAGGTGGGTGGCAATCTGTGTCACCCGCCCTCCCCCCCACCAGCTGCAGCGGAGAGCCCTGGTTCCAGCCCAGACGTCCTCTGCATGGCGTTAGCCAGCATCTGGTGGAGCCGGTTTTGCTCTGCCAAGGGGTACTGGACTCACAGCTGGCCTTCCCCCTGTGAGGGGCACTGGGGTAACTGTCTGTGTGCCCCCCCCCGGGCACTGGCGGGCATCCGGGCACTGGGTGACCAGTCTCTCTCTCCCCACAGCTAGCCTGCTTGCTGGGCGTGATGTACTTGACTGGCATTGCTGCCGTCTTCGCCTCTGTCGCTGTGGTGCACCAGGTCGTGTGTGTGAGGAGCGCCGGCCCCGCTGCCCTCCGGCCTCTGCTGTTCCCCATGGATGGTGGGCGCCCGCTGGGCTCTGGGGCACCCCTCGCCCCCTGTGTCACTCAGCTGCCAGATCCTGGGCTGGGGCTCCCTGGCCCCCCTTCCCCCTCCTGCTCCGATAGCAGCTCCTGTTGCCTGGTGGAGAACGAGACGGTGGAGGAGCAGCGCCGCCCTGGTGGTGGGGTGAGGGCGACGGCACTGTACCTGTGGGGCAGCGTGCTGACGGCGCTGTCCTACACGGAGGCCCCAGGCTCTGCCATCCAGACTAGTCCCCGGCAAGAGCCCCCCCTCTGCCCAAACTGCCTGAAACTCCGCAGCGGGCGCAGCACCTGTGAGAGATCCAACCGCACGAGCCCCAGCAGCCCCTTCACCCAGCCTGCCCCCTTTGGACTCGGCCTGGGCCCCGCTCGCCCGGCGCTCTGCTGCAGTGGCTGCTCGCCCGGCCCCAGCTGGGGCTGGCATCCGTCCGCAGCCCTCGGCCCCCAGGACTGGCCCGACCCCCTGGCGCTGAAGCAGTGCTCCTTGGAGGCAGCCATGGATCTGGGCAGAATCAAGAGCTTCATCTTCCCCAGCTAGGGCTGCACAGTGACCCCATGGCCCAGCTCGGCCCCTAGGGAGGCCCTGGCCTGTGGGGCTGGGAGGGCCAGGCCGCCACGTTAGTTCCAAGCCAGCGTTTGGACCCCGTGGGTCGGGCTTCTCTTTGCCAGACTCTTCAGGCTTTACTGGGCGGGGGCAGCTGTGGGCAGGGTCTGGCTGAGTGCAGGGGTGGTGGGGCTGCCTGGGGCTGGCATGGGGGCTTGGCGGCTGTGGGGTGCAGCGGCTCTGCTGGGGGATTAGGGTGCCCCAAAGCAGGGGTGCCAGTCTGGGGAGGGCACTGCTCACCCGTGCCCCATTGGTGCCTCCCAGTGAAGCTGGGATCTCGACCCCCTGCTGCATTGGGCAGCGTGGAGGGTGGGGGGAGCAGGGCTGGCACATGAGGCTCTGGGCCCTTGGGCTGCACGGTGGAGGGGCCGGGTGTGTGTGGTGTGGGGGGGAGGGGCGGCAGGGCACTCTGTGACGGGGCTGTAAGCTCCAGAGGGGAGTTAGGGGCCTGACTGCCTGGAGTGGATCTGCCGGGCGTGGGGAGAAGGGGCTGGTTCTGCTGCCCAGCCTCACCCGCCGTGCCAGCTCTCGCCCCGCCCAGCACCAGCTCTTTTTACGCTGGATTTTAAATCCGTTTTTCACTCTTTTGTAGATGAAAATCTCTTCCAATAAAGGTAGCTCTGGCTGTGCGCCCATCTCGCCCTTTCTCCCGCCGCCTCTCGCCCCAGCGGGTCCCAGGCCAGGGGCTCTTCCCCCACCACTGAAATGCAGCCACCTCTGGGCCGGGGCACGGCAGCTGGTTCACAGCCCCCCAGCAACGCAGTGCGGTGTGTAAGGAGGAGCCTGCTGAAGGGGGAGGGGAGGAATTGCCCCAGCTGGACTGGCCCGGGCCCAAACCTCTGCCATGCAGAAGGCAGCAACACTCCTCCGCGTCCTGCCCCGGCCCCGGCCCCCTAGAGACCTGCAACATGATTGCTCCTTATCTCCATGGCCTGGCTGACGGCTCACCCCAGCCCCCATTCTAGGTGTGTTCTGTGCCCAGCTGCCTGTGACAGAAACGCCCCCACATCCAGCCACGCCTCACCCCTGCCCCGGCTTCCCCAGGGGAGAGCAGGAGAAAACAGACGTGCCCCATGAGAGTCACATCACCTACGGCCCCGTGGAGGGGCTGTCCCCACCATGGCACAGCCTGCCAGCCTCCCTCCAGGTCTGGGTCAGCAGGGCAGAGCGAGCTGGGTGCGTTGCACCTGGCCCCTGGAGAGGGATTGGCCCTGTTCCATGTCTCTCATGCAGGGCGGAGCATATTGGTGCTTAACTGCTAGTAATAGTGATCCTAAGGGAGAGACACCCCCCACCCACCGGCAGCACA